GCAAAAATGGTTTTCGGTAAGATAGTAATTCATAAAATAACCTTACAGAAGTTCTTTATATTTTGAGTGGTGAAAAAGAAAGTTAGGTGTTAACCAACACTTTATTAACCTCGCCTTATAAAATTGATATTTTTCTAACAAGAGAAGAAAATAATTAACTCGTACGAAGCAGAACGAAAAATGCATGATTTACTCGGCTAAACAATTTAAATAAATGAACAGATATGGCTAAATTGAGTCATCATATCAACCCGATAAAGAATTTATATACCTCATGCGGTCGAAACAGTTTTCTGGTATTGCTTTACTATTTTCAAAAAGTACAGTACAACCTTTAACTCAACGGATAACGGGCCTAGTTACCACACTCATACTCCCAATGACAGCCCATTTCAACACCTTAGGACGACTTGGCTCCCATGAACCCACCGTATTAGGGCGTTTTAGCCGTAAAAGCTTGAAATTAGCCAAGTGAAATAGCCTTCAAAAAGCGTTATGAAAAAAAGTGTTGGCAATCGATCGATTGGAACGGAACAACAGTCCAACGGGAATTTAGTTTGTTTATGTTTTTTGTATAAAAAGCGATTGTCGTAGTTTAGTCGCAGTGTTTTTACATAACGGCCAATAGGCAGACTGGAGGGTTCGTGAGGGGCCAATCAACAGCGCAATAAATAATAAAAAATTCAATTGGGGAGGGCCGAAGAAAAGCGAAAAAGAGAAAACAATTGTTTATTATTTATTTGCGTACCCGTAGTTGTTGATTTGTGTTTCTTTCCGAGTATGTGGCGCACAATTCAAGGCCACCCCTTTATTTGTGCCATATTTCATTGTTCGAATTTTCGGGTTTTTCGCTTTTTTGGTTTCCTCGCTTTTTGCGCCTTTTACCTTCGCGAGCGCTGTCGTGTAAACATAGAAAAATTGCCAAATTAACCGGCCATGTGAGCTGAATGGAAAACAGATTTTAGCCCGTTCGCCCAAATGTTTTGTAAATGTAAAGTGATAATAGCGCATTGAAACCGGTTCGCCAACAGATATTTTAATTAAATGCTGGTCACAGTGAAGGGATCCACCCAATGTATGACAATCACGAAAGTTATCAGATAAATTAATCTGGGAAGCCCACTTGCAAATAATCTTTATACATTGTTTCAATTCTTGCAATATTTAATATGATGGTGATTTAAGGGACTTTAGTTAACGTATTTTCTAAATAAATTGATCGCAGCCACGTGGATTTAGTAAAATGTACTTCTGGAGTACTTTGAACATTTATTTAAATGCTGTTAACAATGATAACGAAAACCAACTTTGTCAGGAAGAAGTCTATATCCACTTGCAAATGCTTTGAATTCAAGGGACTGTTAACTAAAGTTTTAATACAAATCAGATTGGGATCAAATAAAACAAATATAATGTAATGTAATTCGTTTCTAAGATCGGCTTTGTGAATGATTTCCTATCCTTGGGCTTATACTTAATTTGCGCTCACGATAAATAAATAAAAAAGACAATAAATTTAAATTGTTAGCAACTCTCAAGAATTACAGGGAGAAAACATTATGACGTATTCGAGCACATTTGGTAAATATATTTATAAATATAGGTACAAATTAGCAAAAAGCTCCCTGATCTGCTTGCAGCATTTTCAATTGGCCAGCGACTTTTTCCCGTTCGATGCCATCGAATTCGGCAACTGCCATCGAGCATTAGGGGCTTTCAGTTCGATTGGAGTCGGTGTTTTGTTTGGTTCTGCGGGCTGCAGCTTTGCGGCTTGTGCAACGCATTTTCAAATGAATTGTTCGGCAAATCAATTTGCATATTGCGCGGCACATTTGCGGTAACAACAGGCAACAGGGGGCAGCAAAAACAATGCCAGCAGATGGCCAAGAGGTCGCCACGCCCTTTTGGCCCCCTTAACCTCGACCCCACCCCGGCAATTTACAAAAATATTTTTGTGTTCGCACTCAATTAATGCCAATTGACTGCAAAATTGCCAACACCTTTGACATGTTTCGAATGGAAATGAAAATGGATGTGAAAACAATCTCACAGGGCGCACCACACTGAGTATCTGCAGTGCCCGATTCAATTTACAGGATGGGCAAAGCTCGCGGTTTTGCCGGGCTGCTCGATTGCTCGGTTGCTCGGTTGCTCGGCTGTTGGATGCAAAGTAAATCAATAAATAAATAAATTGTCACATGCAAAATTCATGAGAAAATTTTCAAATTTCAGTCGTATTGATAACGGGCAGAAAGAACAACAACCTCGAATTATTCACATTTTGAACGCAATTGAACTTTCCGCATAAATTTTCGTGGCAAGAACTGCGGGGCTTGTGATGTTTTTTTATAGGCACATAATTGAACAGTATTGAATTGAATTAAATTATATTTAACAGCTTAACTGATAAATAATTTGTATTGTTATTGCATTAAATCGACTGGGCCCCGGGCAGAATGCGAGAATATTACCAAAAATTGATGATGCGGCTGAATGGGTTCGAAGCCCAGCCACCCAGAGGTTCAACAGATTAATTAAACGTTTGTGGGTGGAAGATTTAACAGCTATGCCAGATACAGATATGTTTGGGCTTATAAAAATACTATCAGCAGTTTTGGGTTACAAAAGCCATCTTACATGGCTTTAATGCGATGTAAGTAGGCTGACACAGTGACACAGATTGATATGAAAACTTTGGCAATAAGCGACATGAAGTTTCGTTTATTAATGCACATCATATCTCTTGCATTATTGCCACATTCCTTGAATATTTTTATGCCACCTGGTTTTTTATTGCTTTTTAAAAAAAACTAAAATGATTAGCCATTTTAGTATTGTACAACGTCATGGTTATTTCGCATAGAATCATTATTTTCAAAATATAGTATTTTTAAACGACTGTTAAATTACGAATATAATTTTATTTAAACCAACCTGCAAAGCATATAGCTGTCGTTTCTCATATCTTAGCTGTCATATGAACAACTGACATTAAATAATAGAAAAATCGTTTTCACTTCGTTCTACAAATTGTACACGATTTTGGATATACAAAAATAGTTTGTATTAAATCGGACTACCTATGGTATAGTAGCTTTCATGGAATATATTGAAAATGGGGTAGAAACCTGCATTTAATCATCTTCAATCCGAAAAGTACTTACACAGTACACTTAATGGCTGTCAATTAATTTCCGTGATTTAAGTTTCAGTTGCAAGGGTATCTAAGCTTCGGCGTGCTGAAGCTGATTCCTTTTGGTTACTTTTTCGGTTGTTTGTTATTTACACAGACCAAAAACTGCAAGAAGATTGTGAATAAGACGCACTGCTGATTACGTGTTAAAATCGCAGTGCAAGCGCCGCAATCTTCTCAAGAGCAAGAGCAAGAGCAGGGACAGAAGAAAGAGACGGCGATGTGTGAAAAGAAAGAGATGGGTGCACTTTTTTTCTGCTCGCTTTCTTATTTATAGTATGTACCTGCTTCATATTTTATTTATTGGACTCTTAAAGCACGCTTAGTTATTGCCAGCTGCTGCAATCGCTTCCGGGGAAGAATTGAAGGCAGAGAGCAGAAGACAAGAGACGCCTTTCCAGATCTCTGACGTGATTTGGTTTTTAAATCGGCCGAAATTAGCCATGCAGGTCTGTGGGTGCTGTCCCCATGTAAATTGCGACCCCAGCTTTAAAACTCCAGCTTTTCGCTAGGTTAACCTTGTTAGCATTTTTTTACGCGACTCAGCAAACTCTTAAAATTCATTGTGTGTTTGCACTCGATATGCTGGCACTTGTTTTCGATTTTATTTTAATTAAAATTATGTCAACGCAATTGAAATGTTATTGAACCAACACGAAGCGAACAGCGCTTGCCAAATCGACGAGTTCATTAATTTGGATTTTGTAATTTTTACACAATGTGCGGTAACAGCAACAACAACAGCAACAACAACAACAACAACAGCAACGATAGCAACATCGACGATGTCATTAATAATGCACACCGAACTTTTCGGAGCTTCATAATTTATGGTCATTGTGGTAAAGATACAGTCGGCATTGCATCGAGAACAGAACAGAGAAAAAACTAACCATTGGGAATGATAAAGCATTCCGAAGGAAAAACCTATGTTATTTTCACAGACAAAGGAAAAACCATTCTGATACGCAAAAAATTACATTATTTTAAAACCATAAACATGTTTTTTTACTCTTGTAAGTTGAAAATATTCGGGAAAGGCATTTATTAATAAATGGTGGAAATGTAAATTCCAATCTTAAAGGGAACATGCAGCAATCGCCTAACTACACTCGATTTTTATTTGGATCGGAAGTACGGCCCTCTTCACGAAAATCCCATCTATACTGAATATCCGATGTCTAGTGTTTCCACCAAATATGGTACGAAATGAAAATGGGGCTGACTGTAAAATGCATTTTCAGCAGAAGTCGCGAGTGAGCGTAAAAAGTAGTGTTAAACCAAATAGAACAGAGAATGAGCGAAGGAAAAGTGCGAAAAAGAAAAACTGAATCGAACTGGAACTAGCGGAAAATGGGAGAACTGTGAGTGGGTTTATGGGTGGGTGGCTGTTTGTGTTTTCTTCTCGCAAACACTTGCCAACGCCCCCGCGAAATAGTTCCTTTGCGCGATTTATGGCAGGAAATTCATCATATGCAAACACACTCTGAAAATATAACGCTGAGCAAAACGAATTGGTTAAATACCCTTTTCGGAGGAGTGGATACTGAATATGGATAAGGATTGGTAAAATAAATATTTTGTTTTGTAAAAAACTGCCCGAAAAACAACTGCACTGGTTCAAACAAAGACAAGACAGTAAAAAGGTAAAAGAAAAAAACTGACTAGCATGTGTTCTATATATTGCCTCGCCTGTTGATTTTGATCAAGAATAGAAATATGTTATGGGAGTATTTTATTCCCTCCCCCCTCCTGACCATATCTGTCGATATTCGTAAATATTTGATGGACTTAAGCTATTACTCACCTCAAAACAGACCACATAAAGGAAAATGATATATGAAGTCGGCTAGACGCAAGTGCAAAAAGTTCTTAGTTCTTTCCAACTTTAATTGCAGGGTACACAGTATTTCTTGTATTCCGTTTTTGAGATAGTTCTGAAATAAAAACAAAAACATTTCTTTAATGGCGCACTTTAAGTTACAAAATTCGAAGATTGTAGTTCTGAAACACGATAAGAAATTCAGTAATTCATCCGCCCTTTGAAAATATTCCACACTACTGTGCAAAATTTGGTTTATCTAAAAAGCTTAAATGGGTCATTGACAATTGTTTCAGCTTCTGTGCAGGAAGTACTCTCTGAGATATTTTATATCTTAGATTTTTTATGGCTTAAAAAATAATATTTTATCAAGCTCTTCTTAAAGCTTCCTCTCCGGAGTAAACTTTAATTCATCTCTGTTTTCTACATCTAGTTTTTCGCGTTCGATTCCTTTGTTGTGTTTGAACATTTCAGTGTTACAAATCCAGTTATTTGTTGAATTTGACAGTTTAATTCTACGCCTCGATGAACGAAGCAACCCTCAATCAGAATCGACCCCCTCTTTAACCCTCACGCAACACAATGTGTCTATTTCAATCCCACAGATACAGATGGATGGCGGTGCGGATTAGAGATGTGCGCTCGTGAGCAAATTAACTGTGTCACGAGCTGGAAATAAGACCACTCTACTACTATCTTTAAATAAGCACTTTTAAGAATATATCAACAGTAAAGTATTCTACAAATAATATCAGATTTAATGTTAGAAAGCCCTTTTCTTTTGAAAACGTGAAGACAAGATGTTGTGGAAGGCAGAGAAAACAGTAGACCATCGCAGATAAGGAAAGCTAATATTGTTATCCGAAATACGGTGGGTTTCTAATTTCTGTTGACCTTCTACGCATGTTTCGGGCTTTGGAGATAGGCGAGTGAAAAGCGCGTGACGCGAAAGAAAGTTGGCTCACGAACGCACCTACAGCGCGGTTCTGACACATCAGATGTATCTGATGGCATGCTCTGCTGCTGATTTGAAAATCAAACAACTTTGACATTTTGATTTTGAAGGAAAATTCTGTTGAGCCTGCACCGAGATATTGAGTCCTGCCGATGTTGGAAAATAAATGAAAACCAAAGCAATACCCCCAATAAATGAACGCAAATTTGCATCGGGGCTCGACAATTTCTTTGTCGCCTACCAGACATTCCAGTTCGCTTTTGACAATGACTTTTTGGGGGGCATCGAGGGGTTCGTGGAAGAGGGTTTGGGTTTGGCGGTTAGGGCCCCGAGTTAAAACTTGTCCAGAAATCCAGCGGGCAATCAAGATAGCAGCCAGCAAAGAGCAAATCAAGAAAGATAATAAAAATAAAGCGAGTGAGAAATGCCGCCAAGTGCCAAAAACAAGTTTAAATGTCAAAATGTAACTCCCAGACAGACGGCAGTGAAAAAAATTAAAATATACAAAAACAAGACTCGGTGAAGCAACAACAATTGCTGCAATATTGCAAGTTGTTGGGCGCCGAGACAGCAACAAAAATCAAATTAGCGCCTGTTGCAATCGACAGACGTTGTTATTAATTTTTGTTTTTTGTCGGTTTGTTTTTACTGCCGTTGATAATTCGCGCTTATGCAAAAAATGCTTAAATTAAACGTATTTTTGTACTTTTTGCTGGCCATAAAAACGGGGAACAACTGAAATAACATCAATCGTAACGAGTCGCCGAGGAAGACGCATAAAAGATAATCATTATAAGTCCGTTAAAATTTATAAGCAATGAAAACTTCAGCGACATCAAATATGGGAGGGGTTGAGTGAAGAAGTCTGGCTAGAAGTGGGAAAGCGTTAAGCGTTTAGATACGAAAAGACTTGAAAACAATTATTTTTTAACAGGCGACGATAGCTGATGATAGCTGATTTTAATTCGCATTGATTTTTTTATGTTCAGATCATGGAACAAACATTTAAAAAACAGCACAATTATTCAGCATGCTTCTAGTCAGCTTTTCAAGTTATTTGATAGACATTTTAAACACTTTTGATACAGTAAATAGGACCACATTCATTTGATAATTTTTAGATTCGATTTCATATTTTGTGAGATTTAAATCGAACACTGATCTATCTTTCTAATGTTGCTAAAGAATGGAATTGCACTTTCAAATCCGAATTTATTTCTCAAATATTTTGCAATTTTTGATACTCGGCTGCAAATCAATCCATGAGATATGGCTAAGGTATGGAGCTCCGCCGATTGCAAAACAGACCCCCAGACAAGAACCGCGACCAAGACACAATTAAAGCTCAATTAATTGCGCTTAGCGATGACAAGAAGACAGAGTCATCATTATGATTACAGTAATCGCCAAAAGTCTATAGTCGATGGAATAAACCAGCTGCGATGTCTGAAACAGTCGAAAACACACAGAGACTGAAGTCATAATCGTTGTCAGTGGCTCTATAGCGATGAAATCTTCTTTTCATAGACAACAATTTGTTTTTTGAGAGGTTTATACCTTGCTGTTCTGAACTGAACAAACTGATATACCTAAAACTAATTAACTAAACCTGTAAGGTTTAGTAAGGTTTATTTACTTTGAAAACCTTCCGCTGTTATGTACTCGAAAACTGTTTTTCCACGAGTATTTTTTTGCTTCGCCAGCTTTTTGCGACTTTTCGCATTCTAATTTGTGTTTCGATTTTGATTAGTGCAAGACTGAGACGATCTGTTTTGCCCTCGGCTCGGCGGCCCAAAGTCATTAAACTTTGTAAGCCCCGGCTTATCACTGTTGTTGCTGCAGCTCGAGCCGTGCTGCCCGCCAGCAACATGTTGCAGTTTGCAGTTTGCAGTTTGGAGTTTGCAGTTGGGACGCAACGACTGCCGGTCGCCCGCTCATTAGCCCACGGATTTGGGACGCGGAGGGCCATCAACAATGGGGCATCTATTGCAGCGCCGAGTTCTCTGGCATCTCACGTTCGCGAAGGGCTCGGTCGTGATCCACTGGACACTGGTCATCGGATAGTGGATACTGGATAGTGAATAGTGGACAGTGAACAGTGGAGTGGATATTGGCCACCCGTGAATTCCAGTTTCTGTTCTCCGCTCGCCTTGTTTAGTCGGCAGCATCGGTTCAATTGCCCCGCACCACAAAATCATTGACAGCGCCGAAGCTGCAACTCCAGATGCTGTTGCTCTTGCTTCTCAAACTAGCCGATGCACTCGGCGAAATGCACAAGCTCATTCTGGAAATTCTGGGAATCTTCATAGCGGAACAGCTTCCTTTTTCGTAACTTCAGTCGCCACAATAAAAACACTTTTCAGAAGGTGAAGAGTGGGCTGCAAACTGATCACACTGTAGCTTTTATTAATACAGTGCTAAGCAGTAAATATACTAGTTTTAGACTATTTGTTTAGACTAATTTGGTGTCGCTGAACTTCATACAAAAGAACCAAAGAACCGTATAAAAACATTCATCAAAATGTGGAAGACGTGTGTGCCATAAAATGACAGAAATGATGCGAAAAATTGGTTCAACAACTCCCTAACAAAAACTGTAAAACAAAAACTTTACCTAAAAAAAACAAATAATAAATAACAAAATAAAATAAATGTTTATCTTTTCACCTACATTTTATTTGGTTTAAAGCTACATATATAAAAAGACTCAACCATATTTTGGTCGTACAAATTAAAAAACTAAACCTGTCAAAATCAAAGGCATTCTAAACAAGATATGTATTCGCAATTCAGTGGTTTAATACAAATTTTCGGGAACAGTTTTGCTTTGAGAAATGCTTTGTAAAGCATTCCTAAGTAGTATAGTTCCCTTAAATATTATTTACAACGTAAATAATTTTGTGGTTTTATTCGATGGGGTAAAAAACAAGCTTGGGCCAACTTCCGTTCCCTTTTTATTTGATTTGGTTTTTAATGAGCGCCGTGCGATAAAGCAAAGTGTAAAGTGCCAAACAAATATCCAGAAGAGTTGGCGCGATAGAAGCCTATATTTCGAAGGGTGACGAAGAGGTAATGTGTGGGTCGGCCACTATATCATTGTATCTGTATCTGTATCTGTATTTGTATCTGTATCAGCAGCAGTCAGCACTCGTTGTCACACGACACTCTACCACTTCTTGTTCTTGCTCTGCTCGAGCAGAGGGCGCCTTCAGTTCATGGGAATCCGGTAGAAAAGATGCCACACACAGCAAACAAGAAGCGGCAGCAACAGCCACAGCAACACAAGCAACAGCAACAGCGGCATCAGCAACATCAGCAAGCAGCGAAGAACTGTTGCAGCTGCAGCAAACTTTGACCCCGCGCTGCATTCTCAGGCATTGGCGTGGGTGCCACCAGGGGAGGGGGCCAAGGGGGTGCTCGAAGGGGTACTTCCAAGGGCTACTGGCAGTTGCTCGCTTGCATTTCGCTGTCGCAACAATTTTAATACGTTTCTCACATGATTTGCAGCGCACATTCAACACAATTCGAATTGCTTGTGTTGCTGCTGCTGTTGCAAGTGTTTCGTGTTTCGGATCCCATTGTTTGCAGATCTGGTTGTCTGTCAGTCGGTCATGTGGCCAAGTAATTGATCATGCGATGCTCTGTGCACAGCAACAACAGCAACAGCAACAGCAACAACAGATCCCAACAGCAACACAAAGGCGTCGTTTCAAGAAAGAAAGTTCTACAGAAGTTGCACTTCATTTCTTTGATATTGCGCTCGCTTTTATGGATTTATAATTGTTTAAGTTCCTTGGTTGTCGTCGAAATTAAAAGTTCTGCAAAACAGTATGCCTCAGTGCCTCAATGTATCTTGTTGTTTTCATGACTAACATTTAACAACAAAGACTATTTACCATAAGCAATTATACTGACGGTGCTTAATATTAATCGGCAAGGGAAGCAGTTTATAGTCCGCCTCCTTTACAACGAAAATCATGTCTGCAAATCTATTTTCCTTCATTGTAATTAAAAACCTTGTTTTGTGTAATATAAACAACCATCTCTTGTTGTCAATCATCCCATTGGCTTATCATGTTTATTTCTCCGAAACTGCTCTTGTTGCTGTCATAAAACGAAAAACCCCAAAACACAACATACTGCATAATAAACAAGTGGAGCGCCAACTGCAACCATAACAACACTGCGCCAACATACTAACATAAACATTAAATAACGTAGCAAAAACTGCCGAAAAAATGTGCAAAAATACGAATACGAATTTTCAACCAAAACATCGCCCGGCCACCGCAAACAGCTGTAACGGACGCCAACAATTACGGCAGCAACGGCAACAGCAACGGCAACAGCAACAGCAGCAGCAACATCGCCGGTGCGGCAGCAACAACAGGAGAAGCTGCAACAGCAACACCACCGGCAACCAAGAGTTTCTGGCAAACACGCGTTTTAATTTTGCGCGGATCCAAAAACTTGCGATGTAAATGCTTTGCATATCCCGAAATGCCCGCCCACTCTCCGCCGCCCACCTGACACGCCCCCCGCCCCCGCCCACGCCACACCTCCGCAGCAGCATGCAACATCCGCTGCCAAAAAACACTGGGCCGAATGTTAGGCTTTGGGGCTGGGACACAGCGATAGCATTGTCAAAACATATGCTTTCACACTCGCCACGCTCGAACACAAAACGAAGAAAATGCGGAAAACGGGGAAAGCCAGTGGGGAGGAGAAATGGGGGTGAAACGAGGAGGAAAAGATGCACATAAAACTGCTTACAAAAAAGTCAGAGCTCTTCAAAGCGAACAGCCTGGGAATTCGATGCAAACGAAAACGCTGAGAAGAAAATCTTCGGAAAATTCTGATGGGAAAAACGTATGAATCATGAATTAAAAATAAAAACATATTTCTGCTTGAAATTTACACTCTCATCTACCAAAAATCACAAATGGTGCGATTTGTACAAGAATGGTTTTAAATCATATTTCGAAAGTCTGATAACCCATTCTTTGAACAGTTAATGGGCTTAAAAAACGCGATTAAAAAGAAAGACCAATAAATATGAAAACTTTTTTCTGCTGGGAAAACTTGGGAAGAGATTCACATGGTTAGTCCCACAAAGTTCATATGTAACCTTTTTTTAACTGAACAATTAGGTACTTGTCAATATTGCGGTACGACTTTTAGCTCCCCTTTGAAGTTTATAGCATTTGCGGCTCTTTCGGTACCCGGAGAATAATTAAATCATTTAGCCAAAAAGCACACTGGGAAAGAGCGCGGCAATGGGAAAATGGAAATGGATTATCAAATGTGTGGTAAAGAGGAGTAGGAGTGGGAGAGAATTGTAAGCGGAAGTAGAAGCGACGCATTCAACTGGGACCGAAGCGGGTTGCACCGAGGAGCGGAAGAAGAGTCATCGTCGTCGTTGTCATAAAGTACGAGTAAGACGAACGATCGTGGCGTGTAATGGAAAGCGGTGTCTGCGGCCAAGAACAATAAAAAATTGAATTGTAATAGCCACAAGGGCAACAATGCCAACATCGCCGGCAACACACTGCTGAAAGGGCGGTCGTGCACCTGCGACCATATATCCATATAGCTATATAGCGTCCAAACAGTTCCGATGGGGCAGTGGTGATTGGACGCTGCCCCAAAGCTTCCGCTCACCACACCAACAACAACAACAACAACTATACCATCATTGACTACACAATCAAAAAACACTGGTAATAACCTGGTAATCAATTGGTTAACTTTAACTTTTTAAACAAAGCATGTTTTTTTTATTTTCATAGATCATACAACTTTGTAGTTAACTCTTTGTAAAGTTTTTTCTATTGGAATATACAAACTAAATATGATAGTGTGTCACAAAATGTTGATATCAGAAATTAGAGAGAACATTTTTCCAACTGCGTTTTTTGAAACACGTATTTACTACAAATAACAGGTGACTAACTTGGATGTAGACTGCTTCGTTTTTTCTCTGTGCATGGATGGGAGCTAAAGGGGCATAACTGGTGCTGCCATGGGCGTAGCGGCCCCCCTCATCCCCCCCCACCACCCCAGCAGCCCACAGACCCGAGGCACCTGTTCGTCGACACTTTGACGCTTGGCTAATTTTAGGCGAGCGCTGTGCGTGCTACGCTGTTGACTTTCGATGACTCAGCTAACGTCCTCCTCCTACGGACCACGACCCCCCACCATCCATCCCTTTTCCCAAAGAGCCCGCCTCAGATCTCCCTTCTCCCCCACGCCACTGATCCCCAAATTCATCCGCCTTCATGGTTAAATAACCATGCGGGCCAGAATGGGACAGAGTGAGCAGAAACGCTACGCTGCACATGGAGCCCTCGATGGAAGGGACAGGGGGCGGCAAAGGGAACTTGGACTCGGGCGGATGGAGAGCTCGCTCTAACGGGGAATGTGTATTACCTTATTAGCATTTGCCGCCCAAACGTGTTCAACAGGTGAATAAATGAAAGAATACCCCAAGGGGGAAGTAATCTCAAAGTGCGATAAATACAGAATTGCTCGCGATAAGAAATTCAGAATGGGAATGCTAAGCTTCTGGACCATAACCAATATAAATATAATGATGTAATTGCAAATCATTATTAATTTAATTAATTATTAATTTGATAAGGAGGATAATACCATACCATATATATTATAAAAACCCGTAAATCTATATTTGCATGCATAAGAATATTTTTTTGGCTATTCATTAAAGTGAAAATACAACTTATGTTTAATTACTCTCCCTGAGAATTTTGGACTTCCTGGTCCGTACATGTCTTTTACTGGCCCTTTGATATTACCACACGAGTTCTTGGAATTTGTTTGAGAGCAAGTATCCGTGATCTGTACCCCAAAGAAAGGAAATAGAAAATTCCAGAACAAACATTCACCAAGTTTGAGTGAGTGGAGGTCGGATATCGGGTTTGGTATTTGGTTTTCAGTTTTCAGTTTTCAGTTTTGAGCCCCCTGGCACGTACTGCCCTTTGAATCTCCCATCCGATGCTGTATGCCCCGATGCAGCTGAATCCAGTTTGCCCAGCTATATAGCCATTGAGGCAAGTGAGTCAAAAAGCGTCGAACGAAATCTCATGATAGATTCGTTTTATTTGTTGCTGATTTCGTTCCACGTTCTCTGGCAATGGTGCTTCGCATTGGAATCGGGGAGCGGGGAAAGTCTGGTGCCATGCGTCTCGCTCAGATCCCCATTAACTCTATATAGTACCATCACCATCGCCGGAATTTGGTTTTCGTGCTGTCTGTAACACTTTCTAATGCTGATAATGACTTTGGGAGCGTTTTGTGACTTGCACGGAGCACATTGTGTTCACTTTTATCAAGCAACTTTAACTTAAACTAAGTCAAATTGAAACCACATAATATTTAGTCTCATTTTGACAAAAAAAATTTTCAAATATGAACATCTTGAGTTATATGCTTGATTAAAAACAGAGAAAGCTGTTTTTATGGAAGTTATCGGACCTGTGTTTTTATCTTTCTTTTAAAACAAAGTTATGTTTTCAAATATTCAAATTTGAGTGAAACTATTTTTCTCAGTGCTCGGATGTCAACCATTTTCAAGCGACAGCATGTTTTGCCACCCTTCCAACTCTATTTTTTGGACAGTCGGTTAAATGCAATTAACTTTCATGCGGGGCTTAAATTTGAATCTAGAATTAGTTTTTTTATGGTTTTTGCTTTTGGTTTTTAATTTTAAGCCAACGATTGATGGTCTCCGGAAGTGCTAGCTTTGCCAGTTTGAACAGATAGGGTTACCAAGTTACATCATTGTCGGCATTATCATCACCACAGTTCTTACCACCTAGAATCACATGGCATTCATTTCTACAAATTCTAATCGTGATCTCTTCTCGCTTGGCAAATGTTTAATTGCAAAAGTGATAAGACACAGTATGACCTTTCTTATTTGAATACATTGATTTTTAAAAACTATAGTTTATTCTATATAGTTTAAATATTATTTGAATATTTGCGGTTATTTTAACACGTTGTCCCAATTTAAAATATTATACATTTTTTTTTGGATTGTATACTATGCATATTGTATATCAGTATAAACTAATTAATGTAATAAGTAACGGCTTATTAAGTTAAATTCATATTGGTCTCAAAGAAACGCCCTTTTCTATTCCTATTGAGAACTAATCCTTTTAAGACAATAAATGACTTCCTAAAAAGTCAAGAACTAAATAGCACATGATGTGGTCAGCAATGGATGCCAAAGGGCAGCATGGCTAGTTTTCCCACATCCTTAAAAGCCAGAAGGTCAACATCAGGCATGAACCTGGGATATCCCCGTGGCTAAGCCCATTAGTATCAGGAATCCCGAAACCCGGCGGATATTGCAAGAGGAGAAGCAGAAACAGGAAAGATAATGTGTGTTTCGGGACTGAAATCAACATTTAATAAGTCAGTAAACAATTTCGATGCTTTTAATTTTAATTGATTGCGTTAAATAAACAAGTTTCTACAACAAAAAGTATATAAAACAAAAAAAAAACGTTCAAATTATACAACACATATAATCCACTTACTTTTGCTGTTTTATATCCCAAAACCAAAATGTGGAAGAAGACTTGCCAGCTTTTGGTTTTTGATGCTTCTTTCTTTATCTTTAACCCGATTCTCGATGTTGTTTTTGGTTTTTGGGTTAATACCAAATTACTGTAAAAATAAATTAACATACAAATAAATATAAAGAACTAAAAATCGATTCGTTTTGAAATTTTGTTTCCTTTTAGTTTATTTTGTGGTTTTCAGAATTTTGGTTGATTAGCATATCTGGTTTTATCCATAAATCTGTCTAATTTTTGTAATTGCATACATTTATTCCGTCGCTAGTTGACTTTCATTTTTTGCCACACTATCGCGTTTTATTGCTGCGTTTATTATTGTTTTTGTCATTACCACAACACACACTGTTCTTTTTTATTTTAACATGCGTTTTAACTTTTTTTCTTTTACTGTCACATGTATTCATTCATTCACAAAGACACCCTTTTGCACACAAAAAAAAACATGACATAAAAAAGCGATTAAAAATGTTTGTATTGCAGTAAACTGTTAAAAAGGCAAACAGAAAACAATCAGAAGCCACTTTAGATCCGAGGGTGCTAAAAATACTATTAAACAACAATTTTTTATTAAATATTAGGAAGAAATATATATTTCCCTTATTTACACTAATAATCATCCTTATTAATGACAAGCTTTTTTGTTTTGTTTTTTTACTGCAATATTTTTTATTGTAATAATTTAAATCTTTTTATAATGAGTTTATGTAATTTAAAATAAAGTATGGAAATGTTTTTCAACTAATCACCAAAATATATAACACATTTAAATTGTTCTTATGTGAATTAAAGACATTTGCAATGACACAATCAAAGGGATCTTAGTTTTTTAGTGCTTATAGGCGAATGTATGTATGTATACACAGCACATGTGTATATTTTTAAGATTATAAATTATCGGACGTCTGTTGCTGTAAAGTCAACAACAATAGCAACTAAAACTGTTTCACAATATAGTAGTTTATAGATATATATGTACACATGTATAGACTACAAATACGCGCTTTAGTAGTATATTTTGTATTTTGTTTTTTATAATATGTTTCAGTCTCCTTTTTGCTGTTTCCTTTCACTGATATGCATTCTGGTGTTTTGCTATCGTTTTTGTTTTATGTTTTAGGTTCCATATTAAAATCGGGTCAAATTTATGAAACAAAAGTGAACACGGAAAAAAAAAAAAAAAAATATTTTAATCGTAATGCACAGACAAAAAGCTTTATTATTTTTTCAAATGAGACACATTTTTACACAGAAATGGAGAATACATATATTTAAACTGTATATATTCTGTTATTTATTAACTTTTACTTAAAGTTAAATGCGCACGTTCTGGCCGATTGCACATGTCTTTTAAACTTTTGATTTATGTTACAAATTGAAGCGAAATAGAACCGAATTGTTATTTTTGTTGTTGTCGAGTTCTTTTCACAGAGATTGAAAGGGAAGAAGAAGAGCTCACGGACCGTTACCGTTCACAGTTGTTTTCGGAATGAGAAGCGGGTTCAAAACGTTGCGCGGGCGTCGACGGCAGCGTCGCAGTCACCGCAAGAGAAAGAGAGCGCGCCAGAGAGGATCGTCTGCGATCATATATGTATACGGCATACGTACAGTGGCTTTTGGCTTATTTTAACCGCGAACTTTCATAACTTTAACAGCCTACGCAAACAAAGTCAAACTAAACAGGTTATAAAAACCATTTAACCGCAAGACACTTCTATTATTTTAAATTGTGTTATTTTATTATCTTATTTATATCATGCATTTCTAAATATTTTTAATTTCTTTTGAAATTTACCTACTTTGTGAAAAAAATGTTAATTTTACTATCAATAAACAAATACTTATATGTCAAAATTTGAATCCACAGAAATTAAAGTTTTTGATTAAACCATGAGCATTCCTGGAAACATTTCACTGCGTTAAGAACAATGTTTTTTGGTTTTTGATGTTCTGAATTGTTAGTGGACTGTGCCCCACTGTACATAAATACCCGATCCGGGCTTGCCGGCAAAGAAAAGCGAAAGACCGAGCTTAGCTTTTAGTGGCTCTTAAGTTGGAGCTGCACTGAGGAAGTTGTTTGTTATTTCATTCGTTTGTTGAATATCTCTTTGTCCCTTAAGATAACCCAGCCTTAACAAAAGTAGATATTAAAACTATAGTTATTCCAACTTATGTACATAGATTAAACATATTCCCTTGCATATAAACCTGTAATATCTATAACATGCAAATCTTAATACATTCATAAATATGTACATACTATATGTATGCATGTTTGAGCATTTTTCAGAACACGATTATTTATTTCGGTTGATCCTATACTTACTATAACAACTAAACGTTATAAGTTGTATAACGTTTTTTTTCAGGTACAGAGTATGAATGTACATATGCATATATACATTCGTATGGCGAATTTTATATCAGTGTACGATTTAGTCTTCCGATTGGTATACAATTGGTATATAAAATATGTACGGACATATTTATTAATAAATAACTTATGTTTGAACGGAATTCTTAAAGATATAAGACAAGTTAAGAAAAAACAGACCATTCCTACTTTGTTCCTACATTCTTGACTGTATAGCATAATATATAACCATTTCAATGGTATTCAAGTATTGTAAAAAAATTTACATAAATATATATCGTGAGTCACAATTGTCTCGTCAACTATATATAACATTCCGGTCCAATTTATAATACTCTGTTCAAGGATAAACATAATAGGGATTGCTTATTATAAAAAGAATCTTTCATTTTTCCGAGTGTAATAAAAAACAGGAAAGGAATAAAGCTTCGGCAGACAGAAGCTGGTATTCCCCTGCAGTCAAAACATAAATCTACAAAACTACTGATTTGGTAAACATCATTTGTAACAAGAATTTTTCTATTGTCCCAAGACTTACAGCTTCACCTATATACTAGTATGTATGCATGTACCTGGTATAATTTATTGTATATTACGACTAGAAATGTTAAAAATAAAGTCATCATTTTTTCCAAAAGGGTTAAGATATATGTAGGCTGCCCTTACAATAGCTAACTTTGAGTTAGGTTTAAGTCTTAGAACTAAGAAAGAAATATGTTTGGAGACAGTTAGAAAGACATCTACCTAAACCGATTCCTATAGTGATGCTGATCAACAGTGAATACATACTACATATACATATGTACGTATGTATACTCTATGGGGTCGGAAGTGTCTCTACGGCAGTGCAATCTTCTTACTGAAACTATTATACCTTCTGCAAGAGTATAAAAACAAAAGAGCGCACTGCTCTCTTCTGACCGCCTGCAAAGGATGATTAATGACACGATGGCAAATGCATTTGTCTTCTTTTTTTATTTTTTCTGAGTGCAGCTAATTGTTCAATTTACATACATACATATACACTTCGCTGCTTCCTGGTAATTTTCCACTGACAGTTTTCGACGGTCTAAGTAAAATCTATTTCCAATTTTATCCGAGGTCAAGAAAACGCTAGCGAAAAGAAAGTATGGAAAATCAAGCACTTTGCCCTGGATGGTACAATAAATCTCCGATAACAACAATCTGGGATAAATGTCCTTCGATATAAATCCATTCTGGGAGCTGTTTGTTATTATTATCATCATCATCAGGGATTGCACCGCACTTGGTCCTTCTTTTAATTAGCCGCCACTTGAGACGCTGCCGCTGTTTAGGCCAACATAATGACCAATTAGGGCTACTTGCCCAAAATACACCGTTCAACCGTTTCATTTCTTTCGGGTAGTATTGTTCAACTTTTAAAAATCTAAAGTCTAATTTAAAAAAAAAATTACTTAAAAAAAGAGGGTAAGCATTACTTATGTATCTATATATATGTAATACATATATTGTTTTCCATTCGTTTTTTATTTGGATGTAGTTTTAAAACAGGGTGTAGCTTAAGTAATAAACAAAAATATATTAAAATTAGTATTAATTATGAGTATATAATAATAGTTGAGACAATTACACTTTATTTTAGTTTTGGCTTCGGATCAGTCTTTCTCATCTCTCTTTTTGTCTCTTTCCCTTTACTGTTGACTTTTTGATGGTCAGTGTTTTTCTGGTCTTCAGGCCTTTCGCCCAAAAAAAAGTAAAAATAAACAAAAAGTTTAACAAATAAAAAACCCAATACCATATCATCAGTTGTTTTTTTTTTTTTTTTTTTTTTTTGGTGTTTTACCTTCTTCTTCTTTAGCAGATGCTGCGTTTTGGGGCTTTAAGTGAAATCAATTAAAACATTTTGTTGTTTTTCGACTGCTTGCTCTCTGACAAGGCTTCTTCTTTTTCTTCTTTAGTCCCCCTTTTTTTCAAGTGGCATTTGGAATTTTCAATGGAAATTAATTTCTTTTTTCATTTTTTTTTACCGTGCTAATCGTTTTTACTTTTATTATACCCTTGCAAAAGGTAGTACAGCACTACCTTCTAGATATGTATGTCAGACTGTTTAGTGTGATAATTTAAAGCAACTTCGCTGAAATTAAAGCAAAAGTTGTTATTTCGAAACATATATAATATGTCAGACTGTTTAGTGTGATAATTTTAAGCAACGTCGCTGAAATTAAAGCAAAAGTTGTTATTTCGAAACATACTCTATAATTTGGTATACTGATTAGAAAATTAAAAATATTACGTTTATATTTTATATTATATTTGCAAAATTCTTCTTACTCCCTTTTGAAAGTCTCCTGATCGGTTTCTTAATACTTTATTAATTGCATTACACCACAAACAATTTTTATTTTATAAAAAAAAAATTGTTTTTATTCCTACTGATTTTTTGTGAGTATTTGCCAGTTGCCACAAGTTTTGCACTCATTAAGAAATTATCTTAGATCAAATGTAATAAGAAATGGAGATGGACACTTCACATAGCACCGTTATATTTCATTTTAAAAACAAAGTATACTCTTTATTGGTCCAAATGTTTAAAAATATGTTTAAACAAAATAGTCGATTTGTATGAAATATAACACTCTTTACTGTTAAAGTATAAAAGCTTTGACTTGCCAAATTCAGCTTTCTACCCTGTAATTTTTATTGTTAATAGAGCATAAAAAAGAAAATAAACAGCCGACAATCGGCAAGATAAATCCTTATTTTTTTCATATGTACATATTTATGTTCGAATAGGCGCCCGATGACTACTTAATGCCATCAAAGTTCAAAGTGCGCGCACACAATCACAAAAAAAAGAGAACGAAGGAACACACCCTTGGTTCATTTTCCTATTTTTCCAGACATTTTCCCCCCCACTTCCCCCTACAAGAGTTTGGAATAAATGTCGATTCTGATTTCGATTCGACATTGACATTCAAATCTAAACATAAATAATAACAATGATAAACATATCAACACGCCAGCCAAGAAAAGAAACACAGAAAGGGGGATAAGCCGCATATGAATGCCAAAGATACCGAAAGACCCAAAACAAATTTTTTAAAAGGCAAAAAAGAAAATATATCGATGCCGGGCACCGAGAAGACATGAATCAAGTTTAAAGCGGAAAATCCCGAAAAGGGCAGCCAACATTTTGGGAATTCATTTGCTTTTAGGCCTCGGAAAAAAAGCATCAACATGCTCCTATGGCGAGAGATAGCCAAACAGGGAGTGAGCGATAGGAAAAGCGACTCGGAAAACGAGAGGGTCCACAGGAAAAAATGAAGACATGGCTGCAAAAAAGGGATCCCATGGTCAGGACAACATGCGAAGTGGATGGTAATTTGCAAGTTTGCCAAAGCATAAGCCATCTGCAAATCCCTTTCTTCTCCCATTGTGTTTTTCCGCACAAACTAAATGAAAGTTCAATGCAGGCCAATTCCATTAAGCACGGTTTACGAAAACTTAAAGGTTTTTGTTTAATTAACATTTAATGAGAAAAGAGAAACACAAAGATATCTATTAACATAAACATTAACAGATGTCACAAAAAAATTACAAAGTCTTTAACTTTTATATTTATTTATTTTTTGACTAACTAACATTTTTAAGCATAAACAAAAACAGAAGATGTGAAAAATGAAATTACAAACTTTTCAACGGCTATTTATTTATTAAGTACACAGCGAGTACTTTTAAATGCATTATTTAAATGTCGTCTATTAAAAGCCTTAATTCACCATAAAACCGAACAAGGTAACCAAATCAAGTTTTCCTGCTTATTTAATTTGTTGTAAATAAAAAGAAATGTGTCATTCGCATTGCGAATTTAATGCAATTAGAAATCCACAGTATTGATGGTACGCAATTTTAAATTGAATAAGGAGTTTCTAAAAGTCGGGGGAGTGGTTTTCATTTTTATCAAACCGTGTTACGACTAAAACCAAGAACATATAATTAATATCGTTATTTTCGAAATCTTGCTACACTCTGTGCCCCTCCAAATTGTACTTTTATCATCC